CGGCGGGGCCCGATTAAACCGGACAGGCACCCGCGTGCGAACAACGCGACTGAGGCGTCCTGCATCGGCGAAGAAGAGCTGCAAGAAGTGCTCCCCTGCCGGAGCACGAAAACATTGGCTCGGAGCTCAGAGAGAGTTCAGAGCGAACTCAGGTCCTAGAAAGTACATCTTCCCCCAGAAGCACATCCGGATGAAGCGTGCGACCTGTGAGGGAAAGCGATTTGCCACTGCACACGGCTGCCGCACTGCAGCCCAGCAGCTACGATGAGGCCAACCTTGGAATGACGACATGCCCGCGGTGCGAAGCTCTCCACGCCGCTCTCAGAAACCAGCGTAATGGGACGTCAAAGGTTCCACCTGCGCGCATTCACCGTCCCTCTCCGTCCCTCAGAGTCGCGCGACCCCTGCAGAGCGCAGCCTCGTGCATTTTCCGCATCAGCCAGAGCTGCGGCAAGAGCCCGAAAGCCTCCTGAAACCTGAGAAACAGAAACGGTCGCAGAGCTGTGCAGCTCTTGCGGTTCCGAGGGGCATTGTATACGAGACCAGGATCTGCATCGTCAGCCTGCGCTTACGGTTTCTGCGAGACCGGGGCAGCACGGAGGCACGGGGTCGGCTCCCGGCCATTCGTCTCCAGGGTGGAAGAAGAAAGCCAGGACGAGGGAGGCAGGAGCCGTCGCGTACCTCCCAGCAGGCGCTCCCGCTGCGGCCCCGTCCGCTCCGCCTCCCTCTCACATCCACCTCTCGCGCTCGCCAAAAAAAAGGGGGAAAAGGGGGGCTCACGCTCGAAGGAAAGGCGTGGACCTCGGCGGCTTCTCACAAACCACGCATCAACACCGGCACGGCGAGGTCACCGCCGAGGCTCGGGCTGCTTGGGAGCGGTGTGCTGCAGCTGATAGCACATGAAACTAAGAGCGACAGCCACAGCCTCAGACGTCGCCGCTCAGAGCCGCTCAGACTCTGAGCTGCTCTGTTCAGTCACGGAAGTCTCTCTGGGCTCACGGCGGTGGAAAGCGAAAGCTCCAAGTATGCAAACTTCGTTTCCACCAATCTCGTCTCCATGGACTGCCAGTGACAGCATTTCATGTAACTAACGACACAACGACACGCAGCTTCCAGAACTCAACGAGAACGAAGATGCAATGCAGAGAAGCGAACCCAGATGCAGCGTGCCACGACGGCGAGCATGTAGGATGCCTGGCGTTGCACGTCAACATATGAAACCAAACTGTAGATAAAGACCGTCGCACGCCGTAGATTCATTCAAGAAACCTGGGTGTCGATACTCAGTCCATAGATGGACTTGTGCTTCCAAATCTTGTAGAGCAAAATGCAGGATGCTGCAAACTGGACAAAATAGCCTTGGTAGCACTCGAGGACACTGTGCTCACTCACTCTTTTGCCCATTCAGCCACGGGCCCACAAGGAAAAGGAAAATCTCCATACCAGACCTGCCCATGCGATGCGCCGATGCCGACACACGCAAGTCTCACTCCGATTCTCGCTGCAAGGCCTGCCCGCCGTTCTTTCATCGGACCATGTTTACTTCTCTGAGCCAAGATGCGAACAAGGATGCAGGCTGGAGGCCATCTCATGGAAAAAAACGTCCAGCACAAAGCAACGTTGACATGAAAACTCATCGCCTTGCATGCTCGTAGTTTGGACGTCGAACCAGAAGTCCTAAGCCCCCGAAGAAGTCCGATGACGACACATCCGAAGACAGGGAAACCCAGCACGCGCTACGCGGCTACGGTTGACAGGGCTAGAATATTTTCTGGCTTGGGAAAGCACGGCGTGGGCCCAAACGACTGCAGCCGCATGAAGTGATCCACCTTTACAATATGCACCATATGCTTTCAAAGTTGTTTGCCAATCCGTCAATGGTATCTGATGACACGTCATGTTCCAGCGTTATAAAGTCGACGCACCACATTGGTTGCGATACTGTGCATGAGCCTATGACAAACCGATCTTTGCGCACATGGTCCATGGATTATTTTCGGTTTCCCACATCATCGAAGAATCCCGTGCAAACAGAATCAACCACGTATATGTCTGTCCTGCACACATCCTTTTTGCTCATGCAATCTCCCCGTTCATCTGCACCAATCACTGCACCGAACACCTCGGGCAATGCAGAACGCCAACATTTGAGTACAAAACAAAGAACGGGACAAACCAGTTTCCCATGCAACCAAATTTCGAACTGTATAGCATGGCGTTCGAACTTCATTTTTGACGCAGAAGTCACAGCGCATCCAGTTTTGCGACGACGCGCTTCTATCTGGGAGCTTCGCTTCATCAAAACGAAGACTTGGGCCCCAAACCCTTAAGCATCAAAGCGCGGGTATGTTTTTTGTCTACATCGCTCGGGCTAGCTGTCACGCCATGTGGCGGACGCAGCGCTGTCCAGCGAAGGTCCCAAGAACTCGCTTATCTCAACAGCTGAGGGCTGATACCAGCCGTTTTGTTCATGAGACCATTTGGCAAGACCTCGCATCCACAGCGCTTGCAGGCTTTGGCATCGCCAACTGTGTCTCTTCCTTCTTTCTGCTGTGCCACCATGACAAGTTTCCGGGTTCCATCCGGTTCGGTTCTAATCGCAAATAGGTCGACTGTCTTGAAGGCGTGATTTGGCAACACCAACTATAGGGAAGGGCATTGCGCAGACACCGGCACCGGAATGCTAGCCATTGCAGCAACCATGTCTGCTGCATCATATCAAGCACACAAAAACTCGACCAACTTCACCGTTGTGTCCAGGCAAGTACCGCAGACCAAACGCCACGGCACAAGCTTTTCCCACCCTTTTCCAAGTTAGGATCAGCCTGGCCTCAACTCATCTCACGTCCCGCCAACGCCTCACACGTTTTCACCCATAGGCTGAGATATACATTTTCCAATTTCCCGTAAATTTTTGCTCATTTTTGACATCCCCGCCTCGCACATTTTCCCATAAAAAAATCAGTAAAATTTACAAAAAAATATTTTATAAAATTCAAAAAAAAATTTCAATCAGTATAAAAAATTCAATTTTATTTTTTGTAAATATTAGGTCACTTTCAAACAGTCAAAAAATTCAAAAATTATATTTTATCATAATTTTTTATCATAAATTTTTTATCATATTTTTTGTGATATTTTTTTGTGATATTTTTTGTTAAATTTATTAAAGATTTAAGTTTTTTTGAAAAGTTTTTGAACAATTTTTGATAAAAAATTTTATGTGATCATTCTTTGTTTAAACATATTTATCGCCTTCTTTCACAACCTTATAGTATTCCATGGTTTCTGGTTTGGGTTGTAAACTTGCGTTTAATTTCTTAATATATGCATTTCTTTCGTTCGTGTATATTGCTTCAGGATTTGTATTTGATTTATATTTAGGTTTTTCAGTTTATGTTTCAAGTTTTTCTAAAACTGTATCCATGTTGCGGGTTAGTTCTAAAACCATACTGTAAATTTCTTCGCTGAATTCTTCAAATTGTTCATTTTCTTCTTCTTTTACTGTTTCAACCTTTTCGGGATTTTTGCTTTTACCAACTGGCATATATACAATATAATATACAAGTTTTTTTTGAAACTATATATTTTTAAGATGTTTATTCTGAATTTAAGCTCTTTAGAAAGTTCTGATGTTTTTCTGATTTTTCGTGCCGTTTTTTATGTCCGTATGTAAAATACTTACCACAAGGACAAAGCATTTGTTCATTTATTTTGTTTTTATTTGTTTCATAATATTTTTTGCTATTCCTCTTTATTATTTCTGGGTTCAATTCTCTATATACCTGTTTTTGTGCATTTAAATATTCTTTGTTTTCTTCATAATATTCTTTTTTCTTTTTCTCATATTGTTCTTTGTTGTCTTCTATCCATTCCTTCGTGGTTCTTCCTGAAATGATTTATTTACACATTCATTTGCTTTTATATGGTGTCCTTCGCGCTTCAATAATTCGTCCCTGTTCTCACATGGGTAATTTTCATTTAATTCTATCTTGCAGTTTTCCACGCCGTATTCGTCAAATATGTAATTAATGCGTCTGTCACAATCCTTCTTGTTGTTCAAACATTCTCACAGAGTTAACTGACGGGCTT